TTGCTGGGGATTGTATGATCTTGGGGTGGAAAGTCTGTGAGTCTTTGGGGAATACGTAAGATTCTCAGTCACTAGGTACCTTTCAACAATGTCCACAAGTTTGTCTGCTGTTTTAGATCTCAGTGGCTCATCCATTTTTGCAAAGTAGTAGGGAGAGACCTCAGAAATTTGTCCATGACCACCCGTTCCACAATTTTTGGTCCAGACAGTATTTCTGGCTGCAGCCATTTCCTGATCAAATGCATAAGGTCATACTTTTGGGGTGGGGGTGGTTTTCCCAGTCAATAACTCCAATCGTGCATTTACTGACCCAGGACAGCCAGGGTTACACCCAGCCGTGCCAATATTTAAGTTTTTAAACGATCATAGTTCTTGGCTTCCACAGGCCCGAGGTCAAAGTAAGCCTTTGGGGACTCCCCAGATAGTAGGGGGGACCACTAGTCCAGCCCTTTGTTCTCAAGGCCAAGTTTCTTTTTCAGCTGTCCTTTCAAATGTGGTCAGAAACATCTCAGGGTCATCATCTGCAGTCATCTTTGGCAACAGGAGTCTTATGTGAAGAGAAGGCATGTTACCAGAATCGCTCCCAGCTTCGGTCTGCTGCCTCTGCTAGGACTGTTTATGATTGGCCTCAATTTGTTGTTGGTGTTTCTGTTCCTGCTGTTTCAGCGATTCTCTATGATGGGCCTCCACCTGTTCCACGGCTTGCTTCTGGGCTGCAAAGACCATTGCAAAGCTTGTTGGACTGCAAGGCACCGTTGCGAACTTGGATTTGTCTGCTGCTGATTTGCATTTGCCAGGGCAAGCTGCCTAAATAGCTCCTCCATGCTGGCTTTACTTCAACTGTCTGCATTCTCCACCATATGCGAGGAATTAACGCAGTAGCAGGTTGTGCTCGACTCCCTCGATGAGTTAGAGCATGGTGAAAAAGACACAGCAAGACAGCAGGATCTAGGTGAAACACCATGCAAGTAAATGGCTGGACTCCAGTCTGTACTGCACAGAAATCAGGTTCCAGGATAGAGCATCCTCTCTAAGCAGACTGTGTGTTTTATAGAGCTCAGAGTGCTCAACCTACTTCAGCTGAGCTCTTTAACCTCTCCGTGAGCCAAACAGGCTCACCACACAGCACAAAAAGGAAAAAAAAAAAATCTGTGTATTACTTAAATCTGGGACAAATATATCTTCCATCCTGGATACAACCCATTGTTTTTCCTGGCTTCCTGTCACACTCTGTATATCAGAATGGTCCACCATGCTGGCTTTTGTACAAGCTTACTTAATAGAGTCAACAAAAAAGAAGCTCAGTATTTCAAATGGATGTAAACCCAAACATTGGTCTTCTCTTATTGGTTCCCTTTACTTGTTACACATACCAAAGAAAGCATTTGTTATATCTGTTTAGGTGATTGTAGCCATATTAGTGCACTTGCAACAAAAACAATTGAGTACAGTCCATGATACTTTTTTTTTAAATTTGTACTAACATACAATTTTTCAGGACAAGCTTTCGGGATGTATCCCCTTCTTCAAAGGCCAAGCAGTACTAATGCACAAAGTTTTGGCAGAATGTTAAAATAAGACTGAGGGGAAAAAAAAACAAAAACATATGCAGCAATGGTAATTAAACTAGCATAGTTGGTGAGATAAGACACAGAAGGAGTTATAGACTTTAGTTCTTAAAAAGAAGAATTTAAGAACTAAAGTTCTTAAAGGGAATTTTAAAACTATTCAGGAAAGGAAAACTTTTGAACTAAGAATGATAGTTCTATTTGACACAAAAGAATGGCCTAAATCTAAACCTGGGTTTTTTAAATCACTATCCAACAGTTTTGCAACCATCGCCCCAGTCTATAGCTTCTTCTCTGTCTTATCTCACTAACTATGTTAGTTTACCTGCCATTGCTGTGTATAGTTGTTTGGTTTTTTTTTTCCCTCAGAGATTGTCTTGTTTTAAAATTCTGCTAAAACTTTGTGGATTAGTACTACTTGGACCATAAAGAAGGGGGTACACCTCAAAAGCGTGTTCTGAAAAATTGTATCTTCGTGCAAATTTTAAAAAAAAGTATCATGTACAGTAGTCAATTGTTTATATCTGTTCAATAAGTTTAAATAAATCCCTGGTGATCTTGGCAGAAATATTATTATTATACAGTATTTATATAGCGGCAATAGTTTGCTCAGCGCTGTACATTAAAATGGGAGACAGTACAGTAACAATACAATACACAAGGGATTTGAGGGCCCTGCTCTTTGGAGCTTACAATCTAGGAGGGAGGGGAGAGTGGTACAGGAGGAAATAGCTGTGGAGGATGGAGTGGTGGGAAGAGCGGAGGAGATCAGCAATTAGGTGAGGGCTGGGTAGGCTTCTCTGAAGAGATGGGTTTTCAGGATGCGCCTAAAGGTGAGGAGGGTAGGTGACAGTCTGATGGATTGGGGGAACGAGTTCCAGAGGATGGGAGAAGCCCTGGAGAAGTCCTGGAGACAGGCATGGGAGGAGGAGACCAGGGAACTGGAGAGTAGGAGGTCTTGTGAGGAGCGGAGAGTGCGTTTTGGGTGGTAGATGGATATCAGGTCAGTGTTATGAACAGCTTTATATGTCAATGTTAATATTTTGAATTTTATGCGTTGGGCAATCGGAAGCCAGTGGAGGGATTGGCAGAGGGGGTTGATTATGAGCTAATACCATCCTGCACCAACCATTATCAGTTACATCAGTTCTGAGAGGACCACACCCATGTAGATTATGCACAATGGAAGAGAAGCAAGGCTTCCTAGTACTATCTTGTTTCTGTTGTCCTGGTACAGAAAGAAAGATACGAGTGGTGTCATCCTAGTTTGGAAGTGTATCCTCAGTTGAAAATAAAGGGAAAAAAAAAAAAAAGTTGATACATCTACAGACTTGTAAGCTGCAAGATACTAAATGTTGGTTTTGAGCTTATATACACCTAAATTCTAACAATCATTTTCTTTACAAGTCTTATATGATTAGGTCAGGCCTTTGGCAGATGCCTGCACTCTATTAGGATGAGGCCCCCTGTGCTTGCAATGAGAAAGCTGAATATTCAAAAGCACTGTAGGCTAAAACTACAGATGATGTCAGAATGATTTTTGGTAGAAAGTCATCCTAAACACATTTCAATGAGTTCATATCCTCTGCCTCTACAAACAGAAAATGTGCAAAAAATTGGGTAAAAATTATGGGTAACATATATACTCAAATAAAAAAGGGTAGATGGAGGATAGAAAGATGCATGCTTCTTCTTAAAGGTAATGTAGAATGTTATATATATTTTTCTAATGTTGAATACAGAAGAATAAACTCTTATCCCAAAAATATGAAATACTGCATATCACCATATTTTATGCTGTTGTGCGCAAACATTTGCACACCCTGGCAGAAATCGTGAAATTTTGGTATCAATATTACAAATATAACTGATCCTGCCAAGAAACTTATTTTAGGATAGTGATCATATAAAGCCATTTATTATCACATAGTAGTTTGGCTTCTTTTTAAATCATAAGGATACAAGAAATCGCCCAAAGGGTCCTGATCAAAAGTTTACACACCCTGTAATGTTAGCCCTTGGCGCAGACACACAAGGTGACACACCCAGGTTAAAATGGCAATTTAAGGTCAATTTCCCACATCTGTGGTTGTGAGCAGGCTAGATACTGAGCAAAAAAGAACCGTCAAAAAGACTTGAGTAACAAGGTAATGGAACTTTATAAAGATGGAAAGCCTGCAATATGCCATTCAGTGCTGTTCAATCACTTATTAACAACTTAAGAGCCGCCCCATAGCAGATATACTGCTACATGGCGGCTCCGCTGCACAAAATCACGTAAATATACGTGATGTTTCATTTCCGAGTAGAGGGCGCACGCGCGTGCCACCCTACCTGTGCTGCTATTGGCTGCTGGATATGTCAATCACCAAGTCCCAGCTGGCGATCCCCAGCCAGGATTCAGTGATACTTGGCAGGGCTGAGAGGGGAGAGACAGATCGCTCTCTTGTCAGCATGGACATGTTGCTTTGTATCTCTCTGTACAGCAGAGATACAAAGCAGCATGTCTCCCAAGTAAAACACAACACAGCACACATAGTAATACACACACAGCACGCGGTTAACTCTTTGATTGCTCCCGGTATTAACCCCTTCCTGCCCAGTGTCATTAGTACAGTGTTAGATCACTGTAGTAGTGTCACTAAAGATGTTAGTGGCAGTTAGTTTCCACCCAGTGTCAGAATGCCCGCCGCAGTCCAACAGTCCTGCTATAAGTCGCTGATCATCACCATTATTAGTATAAAAGAAGAAAAAAGAAATTCCAGTATATATAAAAACTTCCATTTGTAGGCGCTTTAACTTTCAAGTAAACCAATTAATATACACAATCATTGATCCTAAGGGGGCAATACACAGTATTAAGAACTAAGGGTATGCAGACTTTTGAACAGGGGTCATTTCATTTGTTTACTTGTTGCCATATTTTGTTTTCTGATTGTACCATTCTGTTATGACCTACAGTTGAATGTGAATCCCATAGGAAATAAAAGAAATGTGTTTTACCAGCCCACTCATGTTTTTTTTCTTTTTTAAATGGTATACAATTCTCCAAGGGTATGCAAACTTTTGAGCACAACTTACCACGTTCAGCCAGCAATAAAAAAAAAAGCAAAATATTTAGATGTAAATAAGTCAACAACCATATTATGAACAGGTGCCTTTGTTGACAAGCTTTAGACATTGTGTTGATGTTAGGACACCTCTGAAATTGTTCAGAAGTCAATGACAGGTGCATTTGACCAGCTTGAAGCAGGTTTTGCATTCCCATAGAATTGCAAGCTAATGCAAAACCCATTTGAAGTGAACAAAAGCCAGCCTACACAGGCTCTTTAACTGGATGTATATGTGCAATCCATGTCAATGCCAGCAGCTCTAAACCTAAGACTAATTGGCCATGCATACCCTGCTTATGTAGGTACAATGCTTACTTACCTCTAACCAATCATAGAGATTAATAAGTCGTCCACATTCAAGATGCAGCTTGTATGCAATGCAAACATCTGGAGCTGTGCTGGTTAAGGCTCCTCCTTCACTTTCCAAAGACTGACCAGAAAGAAGAATTAAATGGTATTGTCAAATGGAACATTTTTCACCATCAAGATGAAAAACTTCTACTTGCTGGGACATGTTTATAATAAAGACAAAACACAACACAACTTAGTTTTGCTACCTTCAGGTAAGATGAAGGATTGTTCAGAGCTGTGTGAAGGGCGATACGTGGTACAGCATTAAGGTGTTTGCGGAGAATGCTTGCAGCACTAAAATATACAACTTCATACAAAGGCTGTGTTTCGGGGGGTGCCAAATAATCCCTGGAACAGAAATTAATAAATCAAATAGACCAGTGCAGATTTGTTAATGCAAATAGTAACTGCAATGAACAATTATTTCCTAAAACATACCCATTTTTATTAATAAAAATAAAATTAAAAATAAATAAATTGTTCCCTCTTACTTTGCTGCTATTCACCTCCTCAGAAAATCCTAGCTTGTATGTTTACATACAGATCTTTTGTAAGAAAATTCTTTTGGCAAACAGTAAGACCTCATTACTAGTTAAAAATGAAATCTTGGGGAAATGTTTTTTTTATTTAAAAATATGCTGGGTAACAAAATGAAAGGAGGTGTATGCCACCTCCTGGTTTGCAGGATGTTCTTTACAACCTATGCTTTTATTCATGCCAGCAATAAAGCTTTCACCATATTTCCATAAACTACAAACTTAAAGCAGTATTAAACAACAAGAAAAATATTCCCAGCTCAACTTACCAACCAGCCTGCAACAAACTGAATTGTCCTGCCTAACAGTTTGTGTTAAAATCAGGGGGTTTGCATACATTTTCAAATATAAGCTTAAGCTGTAGAGCCACTTCATGGCACCCCAGTATTATCTGCAGTCCTAATTTTGAGAGCCTCCATAGCAGGAGCACATATATAATAATGGATAGATTGAGGGCGGGTATTAAAGTACTTTTAAAAGCAGTATTACATCCAATGCAAATGGGCTTTTGTTTGCATCAGAGGCAGTTGTGGGAAACTTGGCATGGCTTAGGAGGATGTCAAAAGCACCTGCGGAGGAAATCTCAGAAAGGATCTTCAACATTCCAAACTAACCTGAAAAGCAAGCTAAACGCAACTTCTGCATTTGCCCATCTACACAAGATCTTAGAATTTATAGATCTCAGCTCTGAGTTCATGTTTTTAGCTTGATATAATGGCTACCAAATTATATGTCCAGAAGGTACAGAAAAGTTTTTATATAAGGCCGAAGAATTTGTTCAAGCTTTGTCTCTCCCCAGCCCCTTTTTCTTGACATAGCTGCATCCCACGTGCCACTCATATATCTAGCATAAATTCTGTATATCATGTAGGCATGGTTTTAACGTTCTTTTCTCATTTAATACAAATGCAAATGTTCTGCACCAAATGCACTGCAAACTTTGCTATATGCCATAGCATAAATAAAAGGAGATCAGAAGTTGAGACTGTACTTTTACATTGTTTCGGATAATGGAAAACCTGAAGGTGCATCTATGCATAAAATGGATTGGAAAAGTGTGGAAAACTTTTAAATTTGTGTTTAAATACACAACTGTGGTGGGTTGCTTTTCAGAAGATAGATTAGGGACTGCCTCCTACATTCCAATTATTTTCATACCAATTTTTCGTTCAAATATGACCCCAAAACTGAAAGCTAGACATTTGGCTCATTGTTGGGCAGTGCATTCACTGACCTTAATAGACAAGCTGGACAAGCAGTGCCACCTGTCAAACTCAAGCCGAGTTAAAATTTCTATGTCTGCAAAGCATCTCGGATATAGCATGTGTACAGCCCCATCAGGCTGTAATGGTAAAATTTAGGTAGCTGGTTGGGGGGGGGGGGGTTCACATGGGTCAGCCAGGTGTGATAAAAACCACCTGTTTTTATCACACCTGGCTGCCCATGTGCAAGAAGCCTAAAACAACTAAAAGCCAAAGATTAATCTTAGCCTTGTAATATAAACAGGGTGTAAAAGATGGCAGAGAAAAATTTTTTAGACATGAAACTAAGAAATGAATAAGACATTACAAGCAAGCTCTGAGACACACACCTTACAAGACTATCCAGAAAGTCTGTGACTTCGAGTCGCAAAGATTCAAACCTGCTTAGTTTCTTTGTTCTTCTTGTTTCTTTCATTTCTAACAAAGTCTAGAAAAGAACAAAAGTATTAAACATCAAATAGAGCATGTCTAAATAAACCTCCTACATCAGGATCCAATAAAACATTCTTCTGACCTACTGGCGAACTTGTGTTTAAATCTACAGGACTATAAATGATCTTGCAGCAGAAAGTGAAGGGATAAAACATTGCGCTTTTGAGATATATATGTGAATGAGAATGTCCCTTGTAGATTTCTCATAGAAACAATTCCTAAGGGCGCACAAATATTACCACACACTGCTTTCCCAGACTTAAGACATCTGTAAAAAGACAGGAGACATTTTTTTTCCCCAGTTGCTTACCTAAAGAAAAATACGACTGTCTGGCTTACTCAGAAGTGTTTGATCAAATGCCTGCAGAGCTTTCCATTGAAACAATTTAATCAGGAGTACCTCAGCACATTTTTATCTGCCCATAGTTTAACCAACTTTTTACGTTTAGCTTCTTTAATCAACTTGTACTAAGCAAGAACATTAAAACCCACTTCTACATATCAGAATTGAACTTGCAGATTCTATGAGCGAAGAAAAAAAGTCAATGATTGGTGGAAGCGGATAACAGATGTCCTTACTTTACATACAACGATCCATGAGCTCCACTCCAACTCAAATTAATCTGCAGAAAATCATTTATAACAGGAGTTTTGTACACAAAATAGAATATTTTACGTGGAGTCATTTGAGGGACACATGAAATCCTTGCCCTGTGGGTTATCCTGCTGCCTACAAAAGGATTAGATAATGGCAAACAAACTATAGAGCGAGCAGCCCAGGATGTCCCTTGTCCAGGATGTCCCCAGTCCAGGATGTCTGCCACCTTGGAGGTTTTGATTCTGTTTAAACATCTGCACGGTGTACATTGACTGCTGGATAATTAATATTCTTTGACTAAACCTACAAGACAGGCCGTATTCCCCTCCCCTTTCAGGGAAGGGAGAATATCTAGGGGGGAAATGGCCTATCAGATTAATGAGGAGATGGATGCTGAGATTAGATCTGCATTTACAAAGAATTTGGACCCTCAGGTAGAGGGAAATGAGGGAGACATCAAGACTAAGTTTAAATTGCATAAGAAAACTAACTACTAAATATTTGAATAGGAAGTGGGATATTACATCCCTTGAATCGTATATAGAGAGAGGGATTGTTCCCAGGGGATTAAGAGAAAGGGTAATTCCAGCAGAACATCTTCACACTCCCAGATTTTTGGAAAGGTGGAAAGAGGTCTGTATAAAGCATGGCATAGAGATCATGCGACTAATTGTGGAAGAAGAGAAGGTTCAATTGAATGAACTCTCTAATGAAATTAATGAGAGTGCAAAATCACTTGATCCTCTGAAGAACGATCCTGAATTTGATAAACATAACGACTTCCTTAGAAAAGAGATAGAAAAAAATACAAAAAAATTTGAAATTCACGAAACAACAAAAATTTAGAAGAGATTTAGAGGATTGGGAGAAAGGAGAGATATTTGATTTAACAAATAGCAGAGGAAGGAGTCGATCAAAACGTAAAAAAACATTTTTCTAGGAATAATAGAGGATATTCGTCAATGAGCGAAGATGACGATGAAAGTAATAAGAGATCTGTCAGTTTTTTAGAGGAAAAAAAACGGCTGGCGAGAACCGGGGGATATTAAAACAGACAAACAAACAAATAAATGGGACAAAGGAAGAAATAAGTACCATAGCTGCCCTAAAACCATCCAATCAAAACCGAACCAGAAGCCACAAGAGGTAAAGACTAACCTAGAGGAGGGAATCAATGACCTTAAGGTAATAAACCTTTCCAATTTTGTTTTGAAAAAAAGACATTATGATTTATTACGGAAAGGCTTAACCTTTTCTCCTACGGACAAAATGGACCTGTTTGAGGTCTATAAAGACCTAAATCTATTTTTGAGAAAGATCCTTTTAAGAATTCCATATCTATCTAGAGAAGAACAAAATCCCTGTGACCTTAATTCAGAGAGGGAACAACAGGCACTAAGTGATCTCATTAGTCTTCTTGAGGAGACTCCTATAAGCAATGAGATTGGGGAGGTGGATGTTTCTAACAAGTGGAAAAGACACACTAGACTTAAAACTCCATCTAAAAGAATGCCTAATATCAGGGAAAATAAATGGCTAAGTACTTTTCTAGATCTAGTGCATGATGATCTTGGAAAAATAGACTGGACAATGAGGAACACTGATAATCTCACCAGGGGTGAAAGAATAGCCCTTAGGGAACTTAAGAATGCTAAAAACATTGTGATCAAAAAAAGTGATAAAGGGGGAAATGTAGTATTACTGGAGAGTGTGGAATATGAAAAGGAGGTACTTAGACAGTTGAAGAGCCCGGATACATACCGTAAACTACATAATAATCCTTTCCCAAAACTTGTGGCTGCTCTAAATAAAAAAGTGGAACTGGCACGTGAAGCAAATTTATTAACCAAACAGGAATGTGACATGTTGACGGTTGATACATATAACATCCCCACCTTTTATGTAATCCCAAAAATACACAAAAATCCCACTCAACCACCGGGACGCCCTATAGTATCTGCTATTGGTGGTCCTCTGGAAACAATAGGTAAATTTGTAGACGATCTAATCAAAGATCTGGTCTTGGAACTTAGATCCTATGTAAGGGATACGGGAGATGTACTGAAAAAGATTCTAAATGTAAAAGTACCGAAGGGTGCACTTTTAGTGGGCATTGATGTGGAATCACTATATACCTCTATTCCACACATCTGGGGATGGAGAGCTGTGGCCCACTTTCTGGAGACATATTTTCCTGAAATGGAGGCTCAAAATGAATTTATATTGGATTTGTTGGAGTTTATGTTGACCCATAACTGTTTTCAGTTCTTGGGTTCCTTCTATCAGCAAATATGTGGTACCTCCATGGGAGCACCCTGGGCCCCGGCCTTTGCATGCTTACATTTAGGCTTATGGGAGGAGGAGCTGGTATATCCCTCCACCCCCTATAAGCAATATGCAATAAAATGGTTGCGATACATTGATGATGTCCTGATGGTTTGGGATGGAGGTATAGATGAGCTAAAAAAGTTTATGGAATTTTTAAATGAGAATGATAGGAATATCAAACTTACTTACACAGTAGATAGAGAGGTAATAACATTCTTGGATTTATCAATCTCTGTCTACGAAAATAATTTAGTCACTAAAACGTTTAGAAAGGAAACAGCGGCCAATACACTTCTACATGCTAATAGCTATCATCCAAGGAGTTTAAAACAGGGAATACCCATTGGTCAGTTTCAGAGAATAAAAAGGAACTGCACAGAAGAAGTAGAATATAGAAATGAATCCATTCAGCTCTATAAGAGGTTTAGAGAAAGAGGCTATTCACATAGAACCCTAAGAAGAGCAAAAAGAAGAGCCCTTGGTAGAACAAGAGAGGAACTTATAAATAAATCAAAATCAGAGGCAGGGGCGAATTAGGTAAATCAACCGGTAAGATTCATAACTAAATTTGGACAACAATGGGGTGAAGTTAAGAAGGCCCTGGACTCCCACTGGTACTTACTAACTCAAAATCCGCAGATAGCGAGAGTGGTAGGGGGAAAGCCCCCAAATGGTAGCAAAAAGAGCTCGGAACCTAAATGATATATTAGTACAGTCAGAATTTCAGAGGACACCACAAAAAAATTGGTTAACTAGGAGAACCGGCCTGTGTGGGATGTTCCCATGTGGCCATTGCCAGATCTGTCCATTTGTACATAAGTCCAATCAGTTCTTCAATAAGGATAAATCTAAGGCATTTCAGATACGAAGCTTTATTAATTGCTCTAGTAGCAAAATAATATACATGATAGAATGTCCATGTAAGAAGATGTATATAGGAAAAACGAAAAGGAACCTCAGGACTAGGATTGGTGAACATCTGAGAGATATCAGAAATGAAAATAGGAATGTAAGAAAGGGAGAAAAAGAGAACCCCTTGGCACAACACTTTAAAGAAGTACACGGGGGTAAAACAGAAGGTTTGCAAGTGAAAGGGATTTTCCTGCTGAATATTTCAGCTCGTCGGGGGGACTTCGATAAAGTCCTCCTACAAAAAGAAAAATTCTGGATTTATACCCTGGGTACACTTGTCCCATATGGACTAAATACAGAACTCAATTTTGGAGCTTTTTTGAACTAAAAAAAAACTGTTTTGAATTAAATTTATTGGAACCTCTAATATACCTTGAGTTAGAATCTGCATTGGGGTACTTTATATATGAATAAAATATGGATCTATCTGGATAAAGCATGAATTTGATTGTGTGATCCCTCTTATTCTCACTACATACTTAAATTCCTACAATAATTGGACTATTACTGAAATTAGGTGATTGAACCTGGTCTTGATGTCTCTCTGTTTGAACAATTATTATGAGTATAATAATTATTTTTTGTTATCTTTTTTGAAAATGATCTGATTTATAGCAATAGGGTTCCTCCTCTATATATCCAGCAGTCATTTTAAATTTAATATATGTGTTTTAATTCACTTTGGATATTTTCAATGTAGTGATACTCTTTCAACACAAGATGGCGAGGTGGAGACTCTTTGGTATGCAATTAGTGCACCATATAAGGCGAAGGATTGAGGTCCCCTCCCAGTTCTGACGAAGTCTGCGGTGATTGGCGGACGAAACGCGTCAACGTTTTGACGTCACTACGCTCGGCGTCTTCATAGGGTGCGGCGCCCACGAGGCGGGAAGGAACGGCGGTGTCACAGCTCCCTGCTAGGAAGGCACAAGGCCCTCTGAAAAACTACCATAAGGCTACTATTACAGCGGTTCGCAAACGGCAATCCCCTAGGGGAACATACCTTCCACCGGTGGCAAGTTATTTAAGCTTACAGCTGTTTAGTTTATAGGGCTTATATGGTGTTAAGAAGGCATGTCATATGGGCCTAATTTACCCTGTATACTCGGGGAATTTTTTGGAAATCCTCTTAGGAGGATAGTATACATGTATATATA